TCGCCACTGCCTTTGCTTCTCAGTTGCTTTGATATCATGACTTTTATTTCCTTGTACCTTGACTGAATACTGCTATAACAACAGGATGTGTGGTTCATGAGCACATATAAAAAAGTTATGTAAGGTATGGTCTCTTTTGAATTCCAAAACAGCCCGACAATTACAAACCCTGTCATTCTGGAAACAAATCGACAGCTTAAACATGCTACAATAGTCACAAATGAAGCCCAAATGAGAGCTAAAACAAATGACCAAATATCTGCACAAACAATCCCAGCATTAGAATGATCTGTTGAATCAATTCCTTGTTCGGCATGTGTATTTTCATTTCCAGCATTAGAATGATCTGTTGAATCAATTTCTTGTTCGGCTCGTGCATTTTTATTCCCAGCATTAGAATGATCTGTTGAATCATTTCCTTGTTCGGCATGTGTATTTCCATTTTCACCAGCTGCTGGACGTTTATTAGTTTCATACCCTAGATACTGTTTGCATTTTTTGAGACACCGTTTACACCATTCTATGGAACATTTGTAAGTACAGCTTAAACAAGGTCTTTTCTCCAGCAGTCTCTCCGAGGGATCAGCTGTGTTAAGTTGTCGAATAACATGCCATGCAAGCAAAAAAAGGCGCCAGAATGGTGAATACCAGAATAGAATTGTCCCCTGCGTCAGCGCGAAACAAAGCAGATTACTTGAGATCAAAAGTGCCAAACCTACACACCAAAATACTATAAACCACACACTTAATATAATAGAACAAAACAGCCCACATGTGAAAAACAAAATCCATTTCCACGCGAATACTAAACAAAATTTAAGGCACTTGCAATTCCTACATTTTTTGCAGGATAAGCGTTTTGGAGTTTACCTGCGAGAATTCGAAAGTAGCGGACAGAAGGCACTGAACACAATGCTGAGCATCTAGAACTACCTGTTTTCTTGAACAATGCAATAACACAGCCGCCGGTAAAAAAAAGGCTTTGCCGCAGAAACCATCTGACGGGGTGCAGACCGTAGATGTTCATGTATGTCTGTTCGAAGATAGAAAGGGTTCTTTCCACATTCTGAACACAAATCTTGAAGATCGCAAGGTTTGATGTAAAATATCAGGATGAGGGGTAAAACAATCAAGACCAGTCCAAATGGAATGATTATTTTAGGATTTAAATCAAAGTACACCGTGGTCATACTGAACCATTCGGATAATTGACCTTCAAAACGAGCACCTGGTAAATTAATCGCCCTCCTTAAGTCATGATCTTTATATAGCATACTAAAAAATAATTTATAGTAATAAATTATAAAAAGCAATATGTAATAAAGAAAAAGCAGCTTTGAGTAGTCAGAACAGAAAACTGAAGACTTTCCTGTACAATAGCGCATCAGACGCCTAATCGTTATTGGGCTTACATCATCCACCGGAATCAGACTTCTGACAGCATCACTTTGATCAGATGTTGAAGGGGTATTTGTTTCACCGAGAGTCACTTTTTCGCTCTCTCGTTTAGAAGCATTAGTTTTCTGACTTGTGTGGTCATCATTTTGATCAGATGTTGAGGGGGTACTTGTCACGTTATCGCTCTCTCGTTTAGAATCATGGGTTTTCTGACCCAAATCAGGTGGTGGTTGGGGAGGGGGGGCTTCAGTCTTTTCGCAACAAATTATTTTCTTTAAACACTTCTTAAAACATGAAACATTTCCTTCGATGCAGGGTTCTTGGACAATAGTTCCATAGGATCCTTCCGTCTCACTCATAGATAATAAAACAAATGATTCTTCTAGCCCCTCTCTGTGATGCTTAGCATTCGTTCGAGAGTTTTTAGATTTTGGGGTTTGCGAAGTATCTTCTTTGCCTGTCTTTTCGGGAGCCTTTTCTGCGTCTTCTTTGTCCTCAAAAGTGAAAAGGAAATCAGGCAAGACAAGAATAATGGCCGGCCAGAAGAATAACATTGGAATCGTTGTATAGTTGATAACGTGATAAAAGAAATGAAGCCAGTCAGTGACTCTGACATGGAGACCGCACTCCACTGAGGTTTCGTTTGCTACTCTCTTTGTACTGTTACTACAGCAACGATAGACCAGATTTCCGTCAAAAAGTTTACTCCATTCATCGTCGTGCTCGTCAAGAACGATGTTACAAACAACAAAGGGCTTTTGTACGGTGGCCCTTTTTTGCGACTTCTCCTTAAGAAAATAGTCGTTTGTGACGTCCATCAGAAGTGCTCTAGCAATCACGCGATCCTGACAAGGAAGGCTGAGATTAGAGAGACAACCGGTGGGTTGATCCAAAAGCCAAACTCGCATCATTCTTACTTGGAAATGATGAAGAAGACCCCATGACAGAATATCATAATCATACGAAAAAGAAAGCATCGGTTCCTGTATATCCCGGGCCCATGCCCATCTTGCCGGGCGAAGCTTGTTACCTGGGTTCGTCGGTCTGTATGTGTTGTTGTTAACTTTCACATACAAGTAGAACAGTCTTACACCACGTTCTGAGGCCGTAGTAGAAAATGTTGTCGATAGGTCGTTTGTTTGGGGAACTAGCCTGCACTGCGTCTTTTCGCAGGAGTCTGAATTGGCGACAGTAGTTCGATGAGAACACAAGATCAGGGCGAGAAGAATTTTCAAAAGCATTTTCATAGTGTAAGCGACTCCAGCGATAAAGGGGTGTGGTATCAATGTATCTCAGACGTTATATGATATCATTAAGGAAGTAATTTTGTCAGTTTTGTCTAATGCAATTGACCTCTCTCTAGCTTGTGTACACACGCCCCCTCCCCTCCCTCCTCTATTTTGTTTCTGTTTTCAATTGTTTTTAAATTCACCCATCCACTAGTCTGCTACACAGCCGTTTTTAGTGTCGTTTTACACAATTGTCACGCAACGCTCCTTTTGCGTTGCGTTGCGTTGCGTTGCGTTGCGTTGTGTAGCAGACTACCCATCCACACGAAAGCGCTTAAACAATAAAAATTTGATGGCGCCATTTACGTGGCATGCGCTGTATGATGTATGACATCCGAGGGCGTAGCCAGCCCATAGGGACGTAGTGTTGGAGCTGCTCGTAAGGTTTCTCCTAATTGGTCCGTTAAGAAACAATGACATGTCGTTGCGTCATGCGTGCATTTTCAGGATATGTGAAAATGAAAGGCATCCAAGCCTACAACTAGTCCAAAAGCTGGTTACTGACCCCTGATAACATCATTGTATTCAAAAACCTCCGTTTTTATCCGTTCACGCAAATGACCCAGTGACAAAGTAAGATGGGCTTCATCACGTGTGGAAGACAGGTGCACTATATTTACTTATTATTCTTTCTTACAGCTTATTTATTTCTTATTACAACTCTATAAGAGGTATTTTTTTAATAAAACAAGAAGAAATTGTTTTGTAATTTGGAAGTGCCCTGAAATACTGCAATCATGGAGGGGTACACCTGGAGCAGACCATAGTTAGTAGTATGTTCTGACCAAACAAATGTCATTTTTCCACACCCGTTTTCAGACCTGGTCTCTAAGAAATTACGTCAACATAATACTTACATTAAAATCCAACAAAGGAAGGCTGATTTTACGGTTGGGAATACATATTTAGTTGTTACCACTGAATATTCGAAACGAACGGCCTTCCTTCTTCAGAGTCTTACATACAATGACTAGGTTAAGCTAAGACGTTACAATTTAAAAAATTAAAGGATAGCGTGCAGTATGATGCTATTTAACAAGTAAAAATTTTATAATAAGAAAAAAGTGAACCTTGAAAGTATTGGAAAACAAAAACCGTTGAAGTCGCGGTCCGATAAATCACAGGATTTCGTATGGAATAACCAAACAAACAACAAAAGTGTGTGTCATGCCATGCGTCCAAGGAAAGATTAGAAATTTAGCCTGAAAAGGAGAGATTTACATGCATGGGTCCCTTGTATTTAGCTACAACCAGTTGCAAATATACTTGAGACACTGTACCTTATTTTGGCTGTACTGACCTGCTTATGATCTTGTGCTTGTAACCCTCCTCCTCCCGTTATCAAAGTTGCAGTACAGTGGAATCCCGCCTTACGGCCACCTCGGTAATACCTTCACCTCGTTATTCAACGGTCACTTTTTTTCGGCCCGGCAAAACGGCCATACATTTTCTTAAAAAAAAACCGTTAATGCAGCCACCGGTCGGCCAACAGCCACATTTTAAAATCCCAAACAGTAGAATCTCTTATAATTTCACCCCGTTAATACGGCCACTTGTTCGAAATTTAGAAAAATAAAATGCCTGTGACATGTCAATTTTATTGATCTAATACTCTGGGATGGTTCTTGTACTGTTTTTAGACTTCAGTACACATATCAAAAGTGCACTTGTTGCTATTTTATAGCCAAAAGGGAAATTTTGAGTAGGTTTCTTTTTTTTAAATCTGACGGTACGCGATATCTACATTCCAGTTGTTTAGTAATCATGAGAACAGCAACCTAGTTCCCAGGGTTCTCTCCTACCCGATTTGGGGAGGGACAGGAGTGATATTTGAGAGATCCGCGAAAAAAACGACCTTGTTTCAGTTGTATAAATTTTCCAAAGAATCTGGGAGATTTGAAACAAACAATTTGGGGAGGGGCTGTTGATAATAAAGCACTTATCCTTATCCTTATTTGTCTCTACAGAGCGTAGACAGGTCAGTACGGTCATGAAACTGTGTACCTGACCTGATCTTGAACGCGGAAAATAATGCACAAAGTCCTTTGACAGCGAAAGCGTAACTTCCTGCACAATATCTGGATGTTATCGGATGTTTATCAACGATGCTTTCATTTGGCACATGCAACGGAAATCGCGGAGGATTCACCGTTTGTGCAGTCAGAAATAATTTAGCTATCCTGGTAGTAGTATTCATACTGAAACGCACTAGATTTGAATTGCCTTTTCTATGTTGTGGAGGCCACTTTAGGAAACAAATGTACGTACGTGATACCTCTTCAGCCTATTTTTGATGACACATGAACTAAAAAT